GGTAGATGTTCCTAATGAAGTGCTCAGTGAGTGTCAGTCACCTTTTTAGAGGCTGATTTTCTTTGTACTTTGTAGAGCATCAGGTTTCTTGCGTGAGAGAAGTGAGCTTGCCTCAGATTGTGATTGCAGTATTGAATTTCTGTTTTCCTCCAAAATAAATCCCCCATTCAGACCAGAGGCTTCTTAGGAAACTGGAAACTTTTTCTGATAGATTGTGTCAGGGCCGCTAAAATTTGTGAAATAAACTAAAGCGGAGGACTCACAGCAGCAGAGTCAGTAGGCACTAACTGAATGGTTTTCCTTATTTTTACTGTGTTCCACATTTTAGAATAATACTTAAGATATATACTATGAAATAACACAGTACTATGCAAAAGTTTAAGCACCCCTGGGAAAATGCCATATTTTGTTGATTTTTGAAGTGAAAAGATAGAAGCACAGCCTCTGCAAAAACTTTTTTTTTTTCCTGCAAATGTTAATTCACAGTTAGTTTATATTTTATTAATTTAAAAAACACATGAAAAAAAAATGCAAGAAATTCTAATAGGCCAGTAGTTGTTGACTCCCTGTGATGAAGCTAGAGGCTCCAGCTCATCACCAACATGACACACATGTGCAACGTATGTTCACATAAATGTACTTACCTCTTGATGTGGTCTGTTGAGACTCCTAGGGGAACTGCCATCATCCTCTTTTATCCAGGTTGTAAGGGCCCACGACCATACGGGGAGAGGGGGTGATCCCGTCGTCAGCAACCCTGAAAAGGAAGAACATTGTCCGTGTTAGCCATGTAAAAGTATACTTACCTGTAGAATGTGTACAGATCTGATGACATGTCAGTTTTAAACATGGTGGGGAGTAGTTACCTTAATATTGTTCTATGTGTACTGAGTACTTACCCTTCGTGTTAAAAGGTTTAACCCTGGGCAGGGTTAGAGGTATAAATACACAGGGAGGTCAGCCTAGCAGGGGAGTTTCATTATTTGAAACAAGAGTTTGGAAGGAAGTCTCTTCAGTTTCGTGACCTCAAGACAAAAAAAGTTCCTCTGCTGAGGTTGAGCCAGGGCAGAGCGTGTGGACCAAGCTAAGTACTTGTTCTATGAAAGAACTCGTTTACTTTTCGTTTTCATCCAGTTTTTCTTTTTTCTGTTTGTAATTCACTTAATAAACGTTGACGTATTTGCACTGACCTTTGGAGTCACAGTCCATAATTTTGGTAGACCCAGGACTCCTGACCGACCACTCAACCAGGCGTGAATCCGAGAATATCCCACGTCGCACTCCCCCTTTGGCATATCACAGCTTGCAGACACTTTTGTAGCCCGCTAGGAGTCTTTCTGTCCTTGTTTTAGGAACTGTATTTTGTTTTGAATACATTTTATTGTGTGTTATATACGGTTTATGGTAGTTTCCCTACTCAAACACACACACACACACTAAACCTGCCATTTAACAGAGAAGTTGACTCCGGTGTATTTGACCAATTACATCATAACTGTGCTGGACACTGACCCCCAGGACCGGCCTAATAGAGCTTTATAATATGGTGTAATATGGGAGGTTCCAAGCTTTACAGCACAGTAAGAAGATAGAGTGTGAGTGAGTGGGAGAGGTAGAGTGAGAAAGAGAAGTAAGTGAGTTAGAGAGAGACAAAAGAGAGAGAGGGGGGAGAGAGAGAGAGAGAGAGAGAGAGAGAGAGAGAGAGAGAGAGAGAGAGAAAAGGGTGCTTGTTTCCTGCATATCAAGGACGTGTTGTCTGTATCGGTTTGTAGTCATAGAGGCGGCACAGAGAGATCAGGACAACACACACAAACACACGCGCACACAGTGATGATGGTGTTCTGGGAGAGGAAGAAAGGATGCAGGGCAATTACACAAGTCAAGTGGGAATACATACTGGAAATAAATAAAAAAATAAAATGTGCTCTAACTTTTGCAAAGGCATTATTTTTCCCCCCAATATGTTACATTTAGCAAATACACAGTGATTGTGCATTAAAATGTTCTCTGTGGAGGATGTGCTAACTTTTACTTAATGTTACCTAAGGCACCCCCTGGCCATCCACACTTGTGCATACGACTGTACCTTTCTGACCTTCCTGAGTGTATTATGGACATGTGAGCATAATTAGGCCTGGTTCATTAGATTTAGTGCAGCTCAAACACTGAATAAAAATCACTGTAAAGTAATCCTGCTTAGCTGAAAACGTCCTCTTTTAAATGTTCAAAGCTTTACAAAAGTATTTACAGAAATGGACACTAATAACATGATAATATTATTATAATGATAAAATAGTAATACAATTACATAATATTCATAAAAGTTGCACAAATGTGCAAACTTTTACAATCACTTCAGAGTGATAGTACAATAAAAAGTCTGAATGGATGAAATGCTTATCATTAAAGCTGCAGTGTAAGCTGTATATTCAACCAGCTGAATGAAAACACAAACAACTATACAGGCACAGTACATTTCTCCTACATGTAGCTATGAAATATAATCATTTACTGGAGGTTGTTATGACCAAAATGAGTTCAAATACAATGTTATACAATGGTAATAGTTAGTAAATTCCCTGTTTAAATATATTGACGCTGCCCAAAGACAAACAATTATCTCTAAAATTGCAAGTTTACAAGATAATAATAATAATAATATTATTATTATTATTATTATTGACATTATATTTCATTTATACAGCACACTTTCATGACAGCATCAACTCAAGGCACTTTACAGAAAATAATACAAAATTTATTTATAAAAATACATCTAATAAAAAGGCTTAAGATTGTTAAGACAAAATGTTCTTTACTTTTAATTTAAGTTACTGTAAAAAGATTTTCTTCAAATCATTTTGGAGCATTTCTGTTGGTCCAATCATCATGACATTTTCACTTGACGTTAAGGGCAGCTGCTGTGTTCAAGTGGTGTAGAAAAATGCAAATCAGAAAAAATAGATAGTTGTTTTTTATTTTTTTTGGACAGTGACGATATACAGACATGCTAAGCTGATTAAATGGTTAAGAGTCGATGACCTGTCGCTTATCAAATTCATATAAATTCTTCAAAACAGCATAAAAACATCCATTTTGCCATAGTTTTAAAGTCTGTGTCAATTTAGTAAACCTTTTAAAAAATGCTGAGATTTTAGCAGCTTTACTACAACATATACTCAATATAAAGCACACTCATAAAAATGATGCAATAGGAAATGTCTTAGCATGCGAGGTATATCAGCCCTAAATCTTCTAAAAACACCCAATCACACATCACGCTTATATAAAAGCACTCATACATCATTCAACCCTCACTTGTGCGTTGAGACAAATAGCTTTTTAACTACAGAATAAGAAACATACAGACAGATAAACTGACTAAACATGTGCGCATGTTATCATCTGCTGAATGAAGATGTCTAATAAAGATGTGGATACTCCTGAGGGAATGAGTGGCTCTAGGGAGGCTGACTCCAGATGTGATGCCTTTGTATCTTTGTATCTTTCCCTGTCACATGTTTACATCTCAATACAAAGTTGTTTTTGTGTTTTTTGGAAAGAATGGACGATACATTGATGACTCACGTTAAGCAGCCTATATGTAAGAATGGACTGCATGCTATGGACAAAATACCATATTGCGGGTACATTACTATGTATTGCTTTTACAATTTGACCAGGAATATATTAAAATTACACTGAACCACTGATGTGATGTGGTTAAGGATTGGCTATTAATGGCTGATGATGTTTAACGTTTAAACAACGTTAAACAAGTGTTTCAGAAACATTCAGCTTTGCTGTTGTAATCATGATATACATAATGTATCTGCTTGTGTACACACTCGACTCCTCCAGGCGAATGTTTGAGAACTGTACTGAAGGTCTTGTGCAGGTCAGTTGCCGTGTCAGTCTGACCAGCATTTCAACTCTGGTTTGTTTTAGCACTGTTTAACCCCTTAAAGTTTGAATTACTTGTCAATTCCCACTGCAGGGATGTAGATTATCGCCCATAACCAAAATTGAATGTTTTTAATGTAGAATACTTTGTTTAAGAATATATTTCTCCTGTGAGGGTTGTGGTATGTTCCTTAAGAAGGACGGTGTGACATTAGATAAGGACTTGCTTATGCGCATCTCCAACCTTTCCTACCACACATGCTGGCAGCCTGCACTGTAAACTTAAATTAGTTGACTATGCTATGACACAAACAATAACATTTTGCAAAAATAATTATATATAAATAAATAAAAATAAGAGTTAATTAACAGAAACCAACAGTGCTGGGAAGCTTCTTGGGCACAAGACTCTGTAGGACCAATTAACTGATCTTAACTTTACATTAGTGACTTAAAATTATACAAGACATACTATGTATTACTAGACTTGTACTAGTAATTTTAACAAAGCAAACCAAATAATTAAGCAATTATTATGTTTTACAGTGTGTGGTGCAGGACTTGGAACTGGGTATTTCTATCAGCATATAACTGGTAAGGGACCGTTTGGGAACATTTAGAGTTTAAGCCTGCTTATGTTCTTTAGACTTTTGTCTTACTTAAGCCTTTGCGTGTGAGGTTATGTGTGTAAACGTGTGTAAATCTTTTGAGGTCATTTTCCTCAGTTTTTTATCCATTTTCTTAATTATGTTTCCTTTTTCATGTCCCTGTAATGATGAAAAACATTTTTCTTATAAAATGTTATTATCTATTTTACTTTTAAAACCTTTTTTCAGTTTTTAGAATATATCAGGGCTTATGTATGGGTTTTGGAATTGTGAATCAGAGTATGGAATCACCTCTTGGATTCCCATTAAGTGGAATCTGAATCAGAGTCAGTCCCAACATGTCTGGAATTGAACAGTCCTAGCAATATCGGGTAACAAATGATATACTGTCCAACTGTCATATAAGAGGGTCCATGCAAAGAGGCTTGAATCTGATGCCACGTCACTGTTGTTTCTGTAGGAGAAGAATAAATGACTCCAATGGGTTTCTAATATTCAGACTTTTGAACTGCTGTAATTGTCATATACTTCAATAGAGGCCTTTCAGGATTCGTCTCACAGATATATACGGCTACATGTGGTATCTCTCTAGACATCATTATAGACTGCAATAACATAGTGAATATACTAGGAGAGATAGCTGAAACCGGTCACAGTGGAGGCCCATGGCTGTCCAGCTGTCCTGCTATACTCATCTTAACCATGCAGCTACTGTACAGGCCTTCTAAGCTCTGTGGTGTTGTGGATGTATGAGAACCGTTCTTAGCTTGGTCATGGGAAACTCTGTCCTGCACATTAAATGTTGTATGTGACTGACCCTTCTGTATGTGCTGTGATGCTGTGGGATTATAGCAAAAAGAGTCCTTTTGACCATAACTGAACATCTGAGGATCAACCTGTTGATCTTCCCATGGCTGTGAAATGCTCGGGTCCACTGGATGTTGACTTTGTGACATGGGATTTTCTTTACTGCTTTGAAAAACATTTGATAAGCCAAAATCTGTGAATTGAGATCTCCGTGAAGAACGTAGATTCAAGGTATTTGTGGATTCAGGCTGAGGATGAAATGGAAGTTGGAAACTAACAGTGGCAGGACTAGAACCACAGCTGATGCCCTCACCCAGACTTCTTGAGTGCAGTGGATCCAGAAACCCATGAGAGTCATTCATGCTTCTCCTATTCAATGTACTTTGGTCTTCAAACCTGTAAGCACCTGGTTTTGAATTTGTGAACCTGCCTGAACATCTGAACGTTTGATGGACCTTCATGGGTTTTTCAGGCAACATACAGGTTTGATGCAGCTCCATAGGGTCACTTTGAGAAACACCTGAAGTTGCGTCTTTCCACTTTTCTGTTTCCTGATGTTTGGTCTGCTTATAGCCGTTCATATTGGTCTCTTTCAACAAAGCCTCTTCTACATACGAGAAAACATCATTAGCCAGAATGTCATTCAGTTGAGTAGGTTCATCTCCTTTTTCTAGATGTATCCCCAATAAGGCATCCTCCCATTCCTTCAGCTGCATCTGGTCCACCTCCAGCTTCTTCAGAGCTCCCTCTGCACTTTCCTTCCCCAGGATCTTTTCTAGGGACTTCAGCATGGAGTCCTGATTAAAGCTGGGCTCCAGAGAGTCCATCCTCCAGCCATCAGTAGGGACACTGAGAAGGGCATGACTGTCCATGAAGGCCTGGTCCAGAGGGCAGTGGATTTCCGGCTCTGGTGGATGGATGTAGACAGAATGGTCCTGTCTGAGTAAGGAACCCAGCAATGAGTCAGGGTCCAGGTCCTTCTGTTGCGCAGATCTCCTCCTCTTTGTGGATCTGGGTAAACTGTTCTGCATTTCTGGCACCTCCAAACTTTCATACAGGACGGCCTCTCCTGCAAAGCTGAAGGGAAGCTGCAGTCGTCTTTGACGTAGATGCTCCTCACCTTCTTCATTTCTGGACAGATGGGACAATTCATTAAAATATGCTTATGGCACTGATAATGGCACATGGATTCTTTCAAATTTTAATGACCACTCACGTTAAGGGTTTCTGCCGAGCTATTATGAACTCAGGCTTCTCTCCCTGGAACACCACTCTGGCATTGGCCTGAACCCAGACCCACACTCCGTTCTTAGTCAGGAGCCTGAAGACGGTGAATCCACTTTCTCCAGTCTTTATCACTAACAGAAAGAAACAGAATATCAGTTTCTTCAGTGCCCTGTACAACAGTAAGGAGGCATACATTGACTTGCAAACGAATGCGCACATTTTCATTTTTAAGTTATTATTAAAAAAGGCACTATACTTCTTAGGTGATTGTCTGCACAGTGCATCATATCAGCAGCGTGAATGAACTGGTAGCCAGACCTTCTCGTGCACAATTCCATTTCTGTATAGCCCAAAACCATCTTCCCCCTTAGAGCAGAAATACAGAAGACGATTAAAACATTGCAAAAAGCCTTTCTTAAAATGAAATACGACATGTTAAAAGTCAAAAATAAACTTTCACAAGCACAGGTATCATCACTGGGTTCCACCTGGTGGTGGAAGTTTAATCTTAGTCACGAGTTCTTAATCCGGGGGTCGCAAACACCTTAGGGGCTCTGGGGGGTAGCAAGAGTGGAGCCTTATATATATACTTTATAAAACACAGAGAAAAATAGAGACAAGTGGCTTGTGGCTGGCGAAAAAGCCAGAGAAGTGATCAAGTGGCATAGCTGTCACAGTGATCACAGGGATCAGATGTTAAAAGTGTAAACAGGGCTATGAACTTATTACACTTACTGTCTCGATTCAATACACTTACTGTTTTTTTGCAGTCAACATTCTTTTGCTCTCTACAATGAGGCAACGATAAAAAAACAAAGCAAACACATCTTGATAATCAACACAAAACACTCAAAAGTTCTTTCTTATGTTATACCTGGTGTCTATGCTCAGTGGTGCAAAGTCCAGCCTGTGTTTGGTCTGGAAGATGAGGGTCTTGGTCCTGATCTGTAGAATGCCTGGAGGCTGAACAGGGCTGGCGATTGCAAACAGAGCGAGTTGTGAATGAGCTGACGAGCTTCTCTCCACATTGTGGTCTTCTCCATGAAGATATTTCAGCCTCCCCTGAAAATTCAGGGCCTGCATACAAGAAAATGAGCTGAAATAGATAACTGGCTTATGGGGAAATCCTTCTGCAAAAGTCTTAGGCACCTAAGAAGAGTTTTTAAAAATCAAACAAACAATAATGCAGTAAAAAGCAAGATTTTCTTTTTTTCAGAGCTTAGGTTTGGGGCCAAATTTTCCCACAATATCCCCGGCCAAATCCAACACATTTAATTCAGCAAAGCACTGATCGGCTAAAACAGGTCCTGAATGATAACTACAAATAACACTGGGCTGCCACAAGTAGAGGTTTGGAGATGATTATGCAAATAAACACATAAAATCACTACTTATTGGAAAACTAACATGATGTTTGATGTAAATAAACATTGTTGAACTTTCAAAACGTACAGTCCACATTGTGTTCATTGTTTTTGTAATGTCACCAAAACCAGCACATTTACATATTTCCACCTATTTCGCCTACGGCGGTTTAGCCCTGCCTATTCATGCAAATCTAACTTTATCAGATATCTAAAACTTTTGAACAATATTTTGTTACTGTTTATATGATCGGTCAAGAAATGTTTTGGATGTTTTCTTCTATAGTTTTCTGCACTGGAATTATGAGTGTGCTGCATCACAATATCAAACACTTACCCCAAACAACATTGTTAAATAATCTCTTTCGTGGGTGTTTTGGACCATTCTGCAGAATTTGTGTAAACTGCAATCTCACAGTAAATTAAGCAAAAAAAAGTAAACAATTAAACATTCACTTAAGATTAACTGAGATATTAATAAACTAAATATATAGAAAATCATCACTTATGGGGTACTTTCTGTTGGGAGGTTGCCCAAACTCTAACCCTTAAATTTTAACTTAGATAATACTTAAATATAGATTTATAATTTTGAAAAAAAAATGCTGTCCTAAGTTTTCATGTCACTACCGAAACCATTTTATTCCATAGGTGGAGCCTTATTTTAGCCACACTCTCGCATTTTAGAGCAGGAAGTGAGACTGCATCCCTGTCCCTCATAGCCACATGGTCTGAAAATCAGTGTGTAACTTTAAGAATTGTCCCTACTCAACAATTTTTTTTGTGGTTTAATGAAAAATATTATGATTGTATGTGTACAACAAATCTGTGTTTTGCTAGTCATGTACTGGCTAGCATCTTTGAGTTCTGCTCAAAATAAACTAAAATTGTCATTACTAAAACAGTCACTACTGAGACATTTGGTAAACAATAGGCCAGTTGTGTCCAATCTTATCCAAAAAGGGCCAGCTTGGCTGCAGGTTTTCATTCCAAACAAGCACTTGATCAGCTGTTTGAAGACCAAGACCTACTGATTAAACAGTTGAAATCAGTTGTGCTCCTGCCTGTTTGGAATGAAAACCTTCAGCCACACCGGCCCTTTACAGATATGATTCGATACCACTGCGACAGGCCATTCACAAGTCACAAAACCACTGACGGTAAACAAATGCTTGTGTTTTAACGCAGTATGTATGTGCTTAATGGAACAGAGCAGCATCAGAGTGATCCTGGATCAAGAACGAATACAGACGCTCTGATCTTTCTGAACAGCCTCTCCTCGTCCCGGACACAATTGCACCACTCAGCTCCCCCTACACACCGCTTACCGCTCCAGTATGGGTCCCAAAGTGAGTGAGTGTCCCAAAGAGCTGATATAAGGCTAAATGTAAGCTCAACCGGACAACAAACAACCGATTCGACATTAGGTTTTACCAGGAAGCCTGAAGAGTTATCCAAAAGACACCGAAAGCGACAGCAGAAGTTCCTCTCCAGGAAAGCTGAGTTTTCTGGGGGAAGATGCTGAGGACTGTAACTCTGCACTGCAAAGAAAAAATCAGATTGTGTTTAACTGTTCAGTGCATTGCACAACATGACAGAAGGTGTCAATAGAGTCAAGTATGCTGTTGAAAGCATACTGTAGCTCCTACCATCTCCAGTACTCTTTGGGTTGAAGGCAAAGTGCAGCTGGCATCGGAACATAGCGCGGTCATCAATGTGGATCAGCTCATAAATGCTTTGTTGAACAAGGTCTGACTGTGTGAAGAGACCGAGAGGAGCTGGTCAGTCAGCAGGTTAAAGGTCTCATTTGCATACTGTGGCCTTCCGTATTGCAAAGACCAATATCGCAATAACAGTTAACAATAACACATTGTGAAGCCTTATTCTGCTTAAAAACCTACCTGGTGGAAACCCAAGCAGTCTTGTATAGTTGGAGAGGTGTAGAAGATGCAGCCCTCAGTGTTCACCACCAGCACAAAACCATTGAGAGCCTGTGAGGGAAAAGACACAACACAGCCATTTTGATCACTGAGAGCCAGGGCCGTCTGCGTGGACGGATCTCAAAATAGGATTTGTATTGTCTGTTCAAGGAGCGCTGGATGAAGGTCATCAGCTACCTGCAGCAAAAGATCCCCTTCGGAGAAGCTGACCCCATCTATTGAAGTTGCTGTCCTTCCATTGTTATCACAGAATAACGCTTTCCCATCACTGCTCCTCAAAGTTCCTAGTACAAACAAAATCACATCATCTTCAACAAAACATCTGGCTCATTGTTGCTCATTCACTTTAAAAAGAGAAAATGAAACAATGACTTTGAATCAATAAAACTCTATAATATGGACCCAAAGTAGCTCTAGACTGCACATTCATTTTGAAATTAATCGTGGACTAGTGCAGTATTCTGCAGCCCAGGTCTCCACAATAAGGACAGAATATCACGATGCGATTACTTCTATTGCTACTTAATGCAACTGATCATAACAGAGTGGTGAAACCCAAAGTTATTTGGGTCAGGTCCATCATTTTCCTATTAAACAATTCAATAAATACATGAAATATCACATTATACTACAAAACTTTGCAAAAACATTCTTCATATCCGCTGCATCAGAATAAAATTAAGTTATTTATGCCTAAAAACGTCAGGTGGTGTGACCGACCCAGCCATATACATACATAAAGTAAACCTTAAAAGAAATTGATCATAAAAAAAATCAAAACAAAATAGTATGATTACAAAACATTACAACACATTACATAGTAACCACATTGCGATCACAAAGCATTGAGTAATGAACATTACGATTCCGAAACACTTCACAGTTCTGGGTTAGCAGGGTTAGCACAATAAGTAATTTTGAAAAATTGTTAAACTGGGACCAAATCGTAGGTAAATATTGATATTTTCCTCATTTAAATACACAGGGTTTTTTTTACAGTAAGTCCAAAGCATTTTTCCCCCTTTTATACAATGGATCCATTTTTCTTCGTCTTTGTCTTCTTTGTGAGAGTGTTTGATAAAGAAAACATATCAGAGTGAAATTTTCAGTGCATTAAAAATATAATCTGCATTTTCATGCATTAAAATCAACTTGGTGTAAAAAGACCTCACTTGAAACTAACATTAGGATTGAAAACTACTGCCTCTGATGCTGATGCAGGGGGTTCTCACCCCTCTCCTTTCACCCCACATTGCTCACTAGCAGCTCAACAGAGTCACAACATTTTACACACAAAGAGCCAACAGTGTCACGGTTAATTTGAGGAAAATATTTTATTTGCTTATATTAATTAAAAACATCAAAGCTAATTTCCATTCTGCTGGTATAAAGGCCACTAGGGGGCCTGCAGAAAGAACAAAATAAAAAATTCATAATTTAACTGTGTTGTTAGGTATTCATTTCTTCTTGTAGGTCAGTAGAGAGTGCCTAAACAAGTGTTTTAAAAACAGCTTATTTTAAAGCTTGATACTTTTTTAAGAAAAAAAAAATAAAGGAATTGGTATCAACTGATACCCAAGGTTTCAGTATCCCTGTCAGTACTGGATAAAACGTTGTACTGTGCCATCTCTACAGCAACAACAGTTACTCTTCTGAGCTGACAGCATCCACTTCTGAGATACAGTTTAGCCTCATGAGTACCCGTGTTCAGCTCTGGCTTATGAAATACTGTCTAGACTTCTGTAGGCGAGGCTTCAGGGACAGAGAAATCTCAGCACATAACACTCCCTTTGGATGTCAGGTGACGTAGCTCTCCCTGATGAAAACAATGGGCCAGACATAAACAAGACCTGAAAATAACAGCCCAACAGACGACACAAAAAGAACTCCAAGGTGGCTGACCTGAACAAATTTCTGTCTGAAAGCTTCGCTAAAATATATAATTATTTTGCTCGATACCTGGACAGTGAGCTTCATACAGTAGCTGAAGAATTTACCACAAAGGCACCCTTACTGAAATTCAAATCTGAGCTGAAACTGATGTTAACACTTCAGTAGATGAGGTTAGCCTTGCTTAAAGACTGCTAACTGTGACCCTTACCAAAAAAAAAAAAGCTCAGTGTACCTTATAGAGCTTCATGGGTAATTACCATAAGATAACACTGTCTTTCACTTTTCATCGTGGGTAATGGAACAGGTTCTTGCTGGCTATGGAATAACACATTTGTACAGGTATGGAGAAACTATTCTTGAAGGGGATTTCCACTGAGTTTTCAAAATTTCTGCATATTTCAACTGTAAACCGTCATTCAGAATGTTCAGAATGTGGCCTGGCATTGTCATGCAGAAATAAGCAGCGGTGTCCCTGAAAAAGATGGCAATAATATGTTGCTTCAAAATGGGTTCAGTGTTAATGGTGCTTTCACAGAAATTCATGTTACACACTAAAACCCCACCACAACAAAACAGTATCTGGCTTTTGAACTTTATGCTGGTAACAATCTGGATGGCTCTTTTCCTCTTTGCCCCTGAGAACACGGCTTCCATTATTCCGATAAATAATCTGAAATGTTGCCCTGTCAGACCACAGTACCCATTTACACTGTGCACCAGCCCATTTCAGATGAGTTACAGCCTGAGAAGAATCTGAGGGGTTGAAGGTCATGAGCATTCAGTTGTGGTTTCTGGCCTTTTCCTTCACATGCAGAGATTTCTCTGGATTTCCTGAATGTTTTGATGTTGTTATGTGCTGTAGTGGGTGAAATACCTAAAATCCTTGTAATCGCACATTAAGGAATGTTATTTTTAAACTGCTGGATTTTTTGCTTATGCGTTTTTGGTAAAGTGGAGACCCTCAACACATCCTTGCTTCTAAAGGACCAGGCCTTTCATAGATGCTCCTTTTATATCCAAGCATGACTGCGTCACTCTCAGTTTGGACCTGGGCCTGTTGCACTACGTTTTTGGGAAACCCTACTGTTATTGAAGTCAACCTTCATTTTTATCCACTAGCATCTGACTAATTTGTGGAGTGTTACAGAATAGTAAATAGAAAATCATTCAGCAGTGTACAGAAAACATGGCCTAAAGGAACACCAATTATTAGGTATGAATGTTAATGTAATTATAGAATGTGTAGACTTTAAAAAAACTAAAAAGCTAAGAGAGATTCACATTGTCCATGTTTCATTTGTAGGTTCTGCATTCTTTCTGTGAGGTGATCTGCCAGCGAGGCCTAGGGTCTTCATTGTTGTCTAAAACTGGCTAAAGGTTGTGTGTTTACCTGTTGAAAATCATTGATCAATACACAGATAGACAAACAAACAAATAAAATCTCCTTCACACAAATTTTGGTAGACACAGACCTCCTTTACAGAAAAGGTCTGGGTTAAGCCCCTAATGTCATTAGATCGTAGCAATGCCCTTGGACAGGATACCTGCACACTCTCACATATTCGCATACTCAAACTTACCTCCCCATTCAAATCTTTTCTAGAGAAAAATAGGCTTCCTGAAAATAATGAGCAAATTAGCCAACCTGTCTGACAGGTTTTCCCTGAAGGAGAAGGAACTAGAGGCCCTATCCATTTCACACTGTTGGCTCTGCGCTAATGCTGAGCTCCATCAGTGAACTTCCGCCTTCACTATGCATTCCAGCACAGAGGGATTTACCCTCTGGAGACGCAGAGGAGCCAATAAACAAATAGCTTTTAAGATACAGCTTAAATTCAAGGCCTACAAGAGGAACGTGTTTCCTGGCATCAAAAACGTCCAGAGAGCTAAACCAGCAGCGGAACTTAAAGTTACATAATGACATGCAACTTTATGCAACTGGTTTGAAGGGCAGAACTTGTGATTCTATGTCAACTTTCTGATGGACTTAATAAGGTTGCTTACTACAAAAAATACATAATAAAAAATACAGAATAACAAGCAGAACAACAAGCAGCTTTCACATAAGTATCAAAAGAGCCAATTACTACAATGAGGTGATTACCAAAGAGCCAGTGACTTTCACCTGTCATTGGCAGTTACTCTCCAGTTCATCTCAATCGGTTAGCACAAAAAAGGAATGAAAAGTTTGATGTTGTCAAGAACAAGACACTTGGAGGACCATTTTTAAAAAATGTCTGCATAATTCAATCATTGAGATGTAAACAAAGTCATTTAGAACGGTTTAGTATGAAATTGTTAATACACATCTGATCTATCAGTGAGCTGCCTATACAGCAGAGTTGGCATAGTTTTCTCAGAATGTTTCCAACTTGTAAGGAACAGAGTAATGTATATGTAGCACCACTGATGGGATGAAATAGTGTGCTGTTTAAAAACCTACCAACTGTGATTTCTTTACAGTGGTGGTGTTAAGAATGTTTGCAACCCAAATATGGCCACGTTCTATCTAAAATGACCAGGTAACTTATACGTGTCAAATACATTTTTATATGTAATGTTGATAATAAAATAGAAGTTAATCTAATAAAAGTTTTCTTTCAGGACTATTTTGCTGCACAGCATCCTGCTTGTGCTTCTCCTCCATAAATGTAATGTAACTTTCTCAAAACTACTGTAAAATTTTGCAGGCATCAAGCAATGTATACTTAACCATTTCATGTGATAACTTTCTCTGAGGCAGCTTTTAAAGGCATTAAATGCTTGGGACGTCTGGTTCCTATCACCAGCACTGTGAACAATTCTGAATGTACGTTTTTTACAGAATGGAGCATTTCACACCAAATTTCTCTGAATGGCTTTGTTTACGTCTTAAACATTAAATTCTACAAAAAGTTTGAAAAGAAAAATGGTGGAATTTTCCTTTAAGGTTTGGGATAGAATTAGCAAAATCTATTACAATTTAAAGTTCAGTGGCATTTAATATATATTTAATAAAGGTTATTTAAAGACAAGGTGAGCATCTACATGCAGTGGGCACGAACAAGCAGAAACGTCATTGCTGCCTAACTAGAGCTTCTCATTTATCTGTCTTATAAAATTCGATGACAGAATGCTGCCTACTTAAACAGCTGCCTATGCAGTAGTGGCTACTAAGTGACCTCACTAGGTATTAAACTAGGTATAAACTAGGTATCAGGACACATTAATAGTATAACATCCATATTGGACTCTAAATTTTTTTTTATTTATTTAACTGTTTCATGTACTGCACAGCACTACATCAAATTGAAAAGAGATTCTCATGGATTCTTAACATCATCGAACTTAAAATCTCCCAACAACAAACCATTAGTATTATTTAGTTAGTATTATTCGGACAGGATTAGTCTTAAATGGTGTTATTTTCACTGGTGTTTCTCTGTGATTTAGGCCCATCCAAATCTGCCTTGTTAGTCATTTTTATGGACTGTATGCTCCCCTCATCAGTAAGGATACTGGATACCCGCTATAAAACAAACCGTAGAAATGACTCCAGGTAATATTAATCCCATGTGACTTATCATGTTGGTAAATATTCCGTAAGAAGTTTTGATTTATTTGTATTCTCTGTGGCCCAAATCATGGTGATATGCATTGTCCTCCTCAAGCGTATGACCTTAGATGTTTAAACATATAAAATGACAAAAAGAAGTTTGATTTTATGCAGTGAGCTAATGACACATTACGTTCACTTACGACAGCTAGGTAGACGGTTAAGGTGAACGTAATTATGAAATTAAATTAAACGTTTGGACGTGTTTCTACCTGTGAGCAGCCTAGCATATTGCACATAGAACATTTTTTGGTGTGACTGTGTAAATTGTGTAGCCTCTCCCACCTCTGTTATTTACAGTGCCACAAATATTGGCACCCCTGGTAAACGTGAGCAAAAGAAGGATGTAAAAAACATTCCTTTGAACTTTCATTTCATTGATTTTGTGGTGTGCTTTGGATCATTGTCCAGCTGAAAGATCCACCCGGTTTAAGCTTCCTGGCTGAGGCACTCAGGTCTTGATTTATTTCTGCTGGTACTTGATGCAGTCTGTGATACCATGTATCTGAATAAATTGTCCAGGGCCTTTGGAAGAAAAACAGCCCCACAGTATCACACATCCACCACCATACTACACAGAGGGGATGAGGTACTTTTCTGCATGGCTATCTTTGTGTCCACACCAAACTCGCCTCTGGTGTTTGCCAAAAACCTCTGTATTCACTCTGTATTTTAGTCTCATATGACCATAGAACACAGTCTCACTGAAAGTTCTAGTGATGTTTGACAAACTGTAGGTGCTTGAGTTTGCTGGGCCCGACAGCAAAGGTTTTCTTCTGGTAACCCCCTCATACAACTTGTGGTTATATAGGTGGTGTTTGGTTGTAGTTTGGGAAGACGTTCTGAGCCCAAGACCTAACTAATTTCTGCAGTTCCCCATCTGTGATCCTTGGAGATTCTTTGTCCACTCAAACCATCCTCCTCACTATGAGTTGGGGTCAGTGTAGACATACGTCCTCTTTCCGGCAGATTCTTAACATCTTTTTTTTTAAACTGAGAGTGGAAATGGGCATTTTCAACTGTTTTGGTATTTTCTAGTAACCATTTCCTGATTTGTGCACCTCAACAACCTTTTGTCATACATCATTGCTATTTTCTCTATAAACATATCGCAAATAGACTGGATATTGTACACCCTGGTACACATTTAGGCACTGCTTTCACTCTAAATGTTTTTTTTTCAGGTCAAGTGGGACAGAAATTTAAAACGAGCCAGCTTCTCCTGTTAAAGAGCAAATAATGTTATTTCTGTTGCAACTTTGGCTAATAGTAAGTAATGAAAATATGCTAGTGTGGTGCACCTCTAAATTTTTACACTTTTGATTCTTTATTCATTTAAAGCTGCACTATGTACGATTTGGGGATTTGGAGACCTCTCTGGTGTAAAAACGTAATTGCACACAACATGCAGAAGCATATTCAAAGAGAAACTTGGTGAAGGATGTGTTTTCCAATGATATAAATGAAATATCTATTACTGCCATCATATTTTCATTAGTATAATGTTAATTTGCATTTGAGGGCTAAACATCAAGCCAGACCTTCTTTTTAAGCCTGTGTGTGAGACGTTACTACGTAGAAACGTATGATGTGAAAAAACTCCTGTGAGATCTGAAAAAATCCCTCTGACTATTAAATGACTATTTCAGGCGTTACAAGGTGATGCATACTTTTTTCTTCTCCTGACTCAGTAATGAAACTTTGTTAAATTCTTCAAATATTTTGCATAGTGCAGCTTTAAAACTAAAATGATGTTGCCAGTGCCCACTGGCAGAATTAGCAGAAAGGTATAATCCATTTGTTTTAAACATGGTGTTGAATACTAGGCTATGCAGCATTTTCCCGTCTCACTTTCCAGTCAGGACACGTTAAACGAGGTCATATTTAAATAATATTTTTAGTCATTTGATTTATTTTGCATTTGAAGAGTTCTATATTGATAAAAAAAAATAAAAATTCAACAATAACAAAAAACACTGGGTGTTCAGACAATAAGAAGTGTTTAAATTTTTTTGCCTTCTATTGTTTTGGTATCGAGCACTGTGATACTACACTACTACATAATACTGGTATCAGTATTAAAGTCAAAATTCTGGTATTTGTTACAATCCTATTATACACATTGAGTTACTTAATTGATGCTTTTGACAAATCAGATAATTTCTCCACAGCAGAGCCTCTCCTCATGAGAAAGACAGCAGCCAGAGTGGCAAAAGTAGAACCAATGATATTATGAACTTCATTAAGCTCATGACTGCAGAGCGACCACCAACTAATACAACATTACTCCACAATTCTTTTCAACTTACCTTGGAGAAACTTCTTGACTTTAAGGTAACCCACACTGAGACGGAGGATGGACAGCTTGTCTAAGCGTCCTCTCACATCCTCGGAGAAGGGCAACAGTGCCGTCAGCTTGTCCAGCTCCCCATTTAGCCGATTCCGGTGGCGCTTAGAGGGGGTTGACTTTGCATCATCATGGTTCACAGCATTAAGTCTGCAACAAAAGGAATTGAACCAGAGGTCAACAATTACAGCCTTGGAAGGCCAAACACATTTTGATGATTTTCCTGCTCAAACTTCCCTGATTCAATATTTTAGGGCTCAGCTTCGCAAAAGCATTTAGCAGTAAGATCATCTCAAACGGCAGGAGGGAAAGTTCAATGTGATGCTCGCTCCACAACGTAAGATTCATCTTTGTCCTAGGATGCTTTCTGGAAACCCAACTCAGTTAATTAGCAGGTTTAGTAGGTTTGAGCAGAGAGATCATCAGAGATTTGACAATACCCCCTTTTTTTGATGGGTATCGGCTGATACTTATCTGATATTTTGTTCTTGAACTAGTAAGCCATAAAATGAACTAATGATTTTTAATTTAAGTACTTCACTTTAGATTAACATCCAATTACTCACTCTTATATCCTACAGAAAAGAGTACCTCGCTAACAACATAGCATCACATAATGTGACTGATTGGTATTGAGATTTTTCTGCTGATATCAACCCACTATCGAGACACTTTGATAAATGATCTACCATCTCTAGAAGTCACCAAACTGTGCAGGAGCTCAGCTTGCCAGGACCAGAACTCAATGCTTCTTAGTGACACTAATAGATCAGTGGCTTTCAGGTTAAATGTCTAAAAAAGCAATCTTGGTATGGCTTATGGCCTGTACAACACCTAGATTTTCCAAGGACAATAAGCTCATCAGTAAAGGACGAATACTAAGTGGATGGTCTTTCATCTGGTGAATTAAGAGGACTTATATTAGCTTAAAGCAATATTCCTAATATGACTTTTACCAGAAACTGTACTCACATATCACAGCCCATAGTCACATTTAAGCCGGGGTGGGCAACGTAATAATATTCTATCTTATTGTTACAAATTAAATATGTCAATAGTTTTTTCTAGGCCTATTGTGGATACTGTCAGTATTGAACACTGAACAACTGCAAGTTTCATTACAATAAGAGTCCCATGTAATTGTATGTGGTGCATTGCAGTACGTGATCTGTTACACATCAAATCTGGTAGTGTTTTTGTAGCACCACTGGCGCATTCTGTCAGTTTTTACTTATCAAACATCAGAAAAACTGAATATTGTGGTACTTTTCATAAGTAGTGAAACTGTCTTTAAGTATCTTGATATTGTATTTTGCTATATCTAAGCAATGTGTCTTATTGTTTGTGGTGAAAAGGGTCTTTATAAATGCGTTAAATTACAACCCAGACAGAATAACTTTTCTGAAGCAGGTTTGAACATGTCTCTGTAAAGGGGGGAGAGAGAGAGAGAGAGAGGGAGGGAGAAACAGAGAGACAGAGAGAGAGAGAGAGAGAGAGAGAGAGAGAGAGAGAGAGAGAGAGAGAGAGAGAGAGAGAGAGAGAGGGGAGAGAGAGAGAGAATTTCTTCTAGTCATTAAACATTTATATGACAGATTTACTGCTTAAAATGTCAAAAATGTAGCCCAACCTATCTGATGGAAATAGCCTATCATCTTTATGTTAGCTACACACTTAAATAGATGGTTCTTCAAGGGTTCTTTTGTAAAGGGAATGGTTCTATTTCATGCTGTTGTCTATATAGCACCAAAAATGGTTCTTCTATTGCTATGATGTTGAACTTGTAATGGTTCTAAATTTTATGTAACGTTGATAATGGCAAAATAGTGGCAACCCTTTTTACTGCTATCTTGAACCATTTTCAAAAAGGTTCTATTTATAACCATATGCAACACATTCTCCATCAATCTGAGGAACCATTTCACCATGCAAAGAACCATTCAAGCATGAGACGGTTCTATATAGACCTCAAGGTTCTAAACAGAGCCCTTCCCTTTCCTAAAGAACCCTTGTAGAACCATCTTTTTGAAGTGTGTGTTATTAGAGAGATATTTAACCATAATACTCTGCAGGCTGCTCTACTATCCACTTGCCACTTTCTCCTCATGCTGTATGATAGAAAAACACGAAAATGAATAGACACTTTAGCATTGGATATTTTAGCACATTGGATTTGTGTCAAAAACTGCAAAATTTCAAGGACATTAAGAAGGCGGTTTTCAGTTCTGGCAACTTTAGCTTGTCTACTAAACCACACATTAAATATCAGGTGTAAATGACATACATTTTTTGAACGGGTCTCTTTCTTTTCTTCACCGCATACACCCCTCCATTCCCCACCATGACTGACTGACTGACTGTTTCTCCTGCTGGGCTGTTTGAAAAGCGACGTCCACCGAAGCCGGTAAGTTAGGTCGTCCAAAACGTGTTAAGGCACATCCGAGTGTCCTTTGCAGGTCACGTTGGTTTTCATCGTTGGAACAAATCCTTTATCACAGGGACGTTTTCAAGTGCAGTCTTTTTCTGCGAAGCGCGCGCTGTTATTCTTCAGTCAGCGTCTTTGTAAGAGCTTTGTGAGCAGCACCTGATGAAGAAATTGCTAAACGCATCTGGATAGTCCAGGCGAAAGCGAGCATCATCGCTGAGTCGACATAATTGCAAAGATGAGAGCGTATAAGAAAATACGTGGAGTATTCTTATGTTCCTCGCCTGCCTGCGTAGCTTTATTATCGCAGTTGAAGGAAGTTTCACTGGAGCTGAAAGTTGAGTGAGCAGCGGCCTCTAGCGGACGAAATGCGCAGTTACAGTCCGTTATGTTTACCTGTTGCTAAAGTTACAGTTTTATCAGAGGGCGGATTAGCCTAAACCATACTCGCATAAAAGTACTATACAATTCAGTTAAATTAAGTATTACATTAAATAACGACACATGTACAAATAAAATACCTAAAAACAGCTCGAGTAAAAAAAAATACCAGGTCTAAGGACAAGTGAATTCCCTTTAGGACTGCAGTGGAACCTCTTTTAGTCAGTCTATGAGATGAGTGCCTTTGAGTCCACAGCATTCGATACAATGTTTAAAGGAGAAGTCCACCGACTTTTCAAAATTTTCTGCACAATCCAGTTGTTGAGATGTAAACAAAGTAATTCTGAATGGTTTGATATGAAATACTATTATAGAGAAACTTATTGACTCTAATTTCTTTACAGTGGTGATGACAGAAACCAGCGGCCACAATGTCTACAATACAAATTTAGCCATTTTTACTATCCATAATTACCACTGAACCTACACAGTTTTATATGTAATGCTGATGATGGTAAAATAGTGGCAAATCTGAAAAATAGGTTTTCTTTGGGGACTATTTTGCCTTTTAACTCCCTGCATGTGCTGCACTGCCATGAATGGCTTTTACAAATATGCTTTAGACCAAAAGCTTGTCTCTGGCATCTGGCAGCGTATTCATAAGCATTTTTGTGTAAGAACGTGTGAAGCTTTTAGAGGCATTAAATGCCTTAGACGTCTGGTTCTGATTTATTTATGAAGAGATTTTTAAAAATCATTGGAATTCCACTTCTTTTTGGGTTTTTAGCAATATGGGCATTTTTACACACCTGTAGAGACAGTCAGGGAGTTAAAGTTAAGTTCCATCTCAAATATTAATAAATAAAAATCGCTTTAACATCAGATCTTTGCCATGCTCAGATGTGTATCTGTTTCTACATTATGCAAAAGTTTGGACACTCCCTGTCAGATGACGTTTTGTTGATTTTCTAAGATGAAGATAAGTTAACACATCCTCTACAGGGAACAAACTTAAATATGACACTTCTCTTTAAATGTTAACACACAATTTGCTGAGTTTAACAAATTGAAAAAAAAAGAAAACATAGAATATAGTATGTGCCATAACTTTTGCACAGGCCACATTTTATATTTTTTCCCTGATATGTTAAATTCAGCAAATAAATTGTGCATTAAAATGTGCAGAAGATCTCTGTAGAGGATGTGTTAACTTACTTACACTTAGAAAGTCGTTTAACCAAGGGCGCCCTTTTGCATGCAACTGTTTTAAGACATTAAGAAATAATTGTTTGTATAAAATATTATACTATCACATTAAGTGACTTGATGCAGAGTAAGTGACATCATTTAAGCTTTAACAGAAGTCAAATTAAAGAACTGTTAAGTTCTTATAAATTGTTATTTTCTCTTTCCTTAACCGGGTGTGTCAAGCATAACATCTACCCCGTCGCACAAAAATTGGATAAAGAAACAGTTTTCTTATGAAATGTTTGCAATATTCACAGAAATGTCATGTAATTCACTGTTCAAAAACTGACATTAAAGTAACTGACATTAACTGACATTAATTTATTAAGGTATAACCTTAATAAAAAGGAGCATGGCAGCCATTTGAATGAAATATTTTACCCCAACATAAGCCCGTTCGTCACAAGTTCAGTATGACAGGGTATGACAAATAAACAATTGTTATTTGACAAGAATTAGAGCAGGGCAATACAACACTATTTATTGTTATTTTAGTTTTTGATGGTATTTTTAAAACCTGGGCTAACTTTTTTCTATTCTAACTTAACTAAAACTAAATAAAGATTAAAAATATTTTGACATATCGTGTATCATAGAAAACGTCTTGAAGTATCGTGATATGACATTTTGCCTCTTATATGAATAAAATGGTTACTGAGGTGGGAAAGTCTGATTTTTTTGGCACAGTATGTAATCAAAACTACAGAAGACTTGAAAACGCAGAGTAGCGTGAACATTTGGCACAGTTTGCTTAGAATGACTCAGGAATGGATTTTTGTTAAGCAGTTTTCTTCTCATTTTAGGATTTTTTTTTTTTTGGGACTTCAAAATCCTTCATAATCTTACTTAAGTACATGGACCTGAGTAATGGAACTAGTCACTGCACCTCTGGGCTTAATCCAGCAATCTGTTTCACAGTGGATTGTTGTTTATAGTGAAGGCCTAATGTACATTTACAGACTGTTTATAGCTCTGGGAAAACTTTCAATAAAACATATTCAAATGACAACATAGTCTACTTGAAAATTACTGATTTGGTAGCATGTCTAACGCCTCTAATTATAACTTGGTGATGTTGTTGTACAAGCCCATTATAAGAATGCCTGCTTTGCTTGGAATGTCCGTTCACTTGCAGAAATGTAGTCCAGCCAGCACTCTGTAACAAATTCAGAGGCCTCTGGCTTATAACCCGCATCCAAAATGTATGGAGAGAATCAACTAATTATACTGTTGTTTTTCTACAATGTGGTAATTATTTATTTTGTTTTGTTTATCTTTTTTATTTTTTTCCTTATTATCTGTTACTTTTAATGTTTCCTATGTTACTTTTCCACTTTTGTGTCTTTCCATGTTCATGATGCCTTCTGTTGTGTTGAAATATTGAAAATAAAATATTAAAAAAGAGAAAAGTTCAAATGTTAGTTCCATCACACTGCCCAGTTACTGAAACGGTATGGTGTATTTTGTGTGTGTATTTCACACTTATGTAATCTATGTGTGTTAAATCAGAGAGAATACACACCTACAGTACTGTGCAAGAGTCAGAGAACATCCTTCATTCATTCAGTCAAAACACCCATTAACCCATTAAGAAGCCTCAACAACAAAATATATCACTTTTTTCTGTTTTTACTGTGTCCACCTTTCACCTTGATTACAGCTTCTGTTATTTTCAGGAGTCTTGCTTTCAGTTTTTCAGAGAAATCTGCAGGGATTTTTCCACACCTCCAAAGCTCAGTCTTAGAAGTTGGTTGCATTTTCTGCTTATCAGAATCCAAGTAATCTCAAACACATTCAGTGAAATTGAGGTCTGGACTCTGGGGTGGTCTGTCCATTGTTCTTGTCTTTCTTTGTTTTTGTCTTTCCTTTTCTCAGTAAGGGCTTCTTGACAGCTACACATCCTTTCAGACTCATAGTGTTGAGTTGTGGAAGGTTGGACAGAAACGTGGACTTTTTTAGATCTGAAGCAAGAGTGGGGCTTGATTTTCTCCTGTTTATCTGATAGTGACAGATTTGGTGGTCTATCAGGTCTGCACTGTTGTTAGGAGTCCCATCTTCTGTGTATCTTATTCTGAACTCTGGTTTTAGAAACTCCTCAGTGGATTGCCTCAGATCTAACGTCCTCAGAAATATCTCCTGAAAAAGAAACAACTGGTGCTTAATGGCTGTGTTGACTGGAAATTAAATAACTGTAGGGCGGTCTCTGACTTTTGCACAGAACCATATGTATGTGAGTTTTGAGGGGGCAGGAGGCCGATAGTTCTGAAAAAATGTGTGTGTGCATGCATTCACTTGAGTACTGGTGTGGACAGGGCTGGTCTGGTTGTGCCTGCTGTACCGGTCTTCATACCTCACTCATATCTCACTCTCGGAGAGTCTCCACTCTGTGCTCTTTGGTTACTGCCACTCTTTGTACGTGTTGTAATGGCAACATGCAAACATCTAAGTAAACACAATGCCGTCTTTTCAAACTGAAATCAGGGCTCATCTTTGTCTTGATTACATCACCAGTCGGGCTTCATACATAACTAGGATTACCACTACCATTTTTAGGACACACAATGTAAATGGTACAACGTAGTCCTTAAGGTCCAGTTGTGCAGATTAAATGAGATTGTTCAAATAGAGATAAATTAAAAAATAGCCTGGAGTCAAGACTGGGTCTGTAGAATCAATATAACCTAAAAATATACCTGCAATGGAATCTGGTTCATTTCTTTTCCTTAAAGTGAAGAAACTGAAGACATACCATTAAGGTTACTGCCACAGTGAGTGTTTGTACCAGGAAATGTACAGTTCAGTATCTTTCATTTTCTGAGAGTGAGTGTCCAGAAAGCCACCCCCAAACTTCTCAGATTTGTCTAAATTTCTGCATAATTCAGTAGGTGAGATGTAAACAAAGTCATTTAGAATGGCTAGATGTGAAGCGGTTCATTGTAGAGAAACTTAGACTCTAAGTCTAAGTAGTCTTTATGGTGGTGGTGATAGGAACCAGGGGTCGCCATGTCTACAGCACAAACATAAACATTTTATTTACTATACAAAACCACCAGTGAACCTACACAGGTCTTATGAGTTTTAATATATACTGTTGATAATGGTGAAATAGTGCTAAATCTGGGACTATTTTGCCCTGCAGCATCCTGCATGTATCCCTCCACCATGGGTAGTTTTTTTAAAAATACATTTTAGTACAAAACCTTCTCAAAACTGTTGTAAAATAATGTCTCAGGCCCCAGACAGTGTTTTTGTAACCATTTCATGTAATTTCATTCCCCGAGGAAGCTTTTAAGGTGGACGTCTGATTCCTATCAGCACCACTGTGAACAATGCTGTCTTGGCAAATTTCTCTAGAAGAGATTATCTTATCTTGAAAAAGGAAACACATTTTTTAGATTTATCACTAGTTTACAATTATCAACATTATGTAAAACCTCAGAAGACACCTGTAGGTTCACTGGTGGCTTTGGATGGTAAATAAAATAACTGTGTTTGCGACATAGACATCGTGACCCCTGGTTCCTATCAATTTCAGCTGATAAGTTTCTTTACAATGCACCGTTTCACATCAGACAACTCTGAAAGAGTGTCTCGAAGATAAATTGCACAGAAATGTTGAGAAAAATGGTGGAATTCCCTTTTTAATGTTAACTGTTGCATTTAATTAAATGTCTTTAACAGACACCCATTTGTTTTGAAGAAATTGGTTATCATTTAATGACATTTCATTGTTTTGCTGTATAGTGCTCACTGCAAACATAATATTGCCATCAAAATGACAGTTAATCTAATTGCAGAGTGTCATAACTTGCAGAGAGTGGTTTAATTATCTAAAAATCGGCACAGCATTAAACCAATTAAGCAGAGGTGAAGTAATGTTCATTTTTGTTGTGCTGATCATGGTAAAGGTAGAGCCATAGGCCTATGAATTATGTTCAATTATATTATGTCTCTATTTTAATACTACAGAATGGGTAAAACAATGGCAGTAATTTAAAAAAATTGAAACCGCCTTTCCCCCCGTATCTGTGGTGCTCTGCAGTAGGCCACAGTAGATACCTTGCACTTTAGATGAAACTTAGACACCCCCACCACCACCATTAATGTGACCAACAACTCCACTCTGTATCATAATGCATCTTTGTACAAATGTTCATATCTATTTTATAATATACTGTAAATAACAGCTGATTTTATGTTTCCTCAGGCGCTTCGCATATGTACATATTCACATATTCATGTCTTGGATCTTTATATCTGTTTATTCTATTTTTTTATTTTATTTGATTGTAATTTATTTTCTCTTAGATATTGTTATTTTCTTTTGAATATTTGAAGGGTTTTGTTGCAAAACATGTTATAGGCAACTTTCAAAACTTTTTTTCAGGCTGTGTTGTTGAGAGTGGGCTTAAAACGTACAAGAAATATCATATAATAATATGATATCATAATATGCTGTATTATGATTAATCCCATATTTATTAAAGAAATACTTTTTTCCATTATTCATCAGCTGTTATTCTTTTCAAACTCATTATATACAAATTTGTTACAAATGCATATACAAATACATCACTCTGCATATAGTCTAGTCTGTTTAGTATTGTCATACATGTGTGCATGCACCAAGTCCTCGAAAGTGTGAAATAAGGTGATCCTGTTTCAAAAGGATCAGGATTTAATGCACTGATATGCTAGTGAAAGTGAAAATAATAGGTTAGGCCATTGCCCAGGTGGCCCCCTGACAGTTCATGATCCAGGGGGAGTTGAAACCAGTGCAAACAGTATACTGCAGTCACAGTAAAATACTTTTCTAGCTGAGATTGCTAACACTGCAAAATAGACCGCAAGCTTAATCACGAAGGTAACAGTAACTAGTCACATTTCCTCAATTTCACCTACATGAGTACAAAAATGATGACTTTGCTCTCTGCAGCTGTTAAGTGCACTGTATTTGCTATTCGAAAGTATAGAGGTAATACACACATTGGATGAAACATGTTAATTAACTTCAGTTTAGGTGTGAATGGAGTGAAACTCATTGGGTCAAATCAGAGTAGGAATTGGCTGTAATCCATGGATGGTTTCTCCATCATTCCACAGTCAAGAAGCACAATCACTATCCTCACAATCATTCAGTACCAACATTCTCTTGAATGGTCCAAAAATATGAGTTTTAACCTCAGATAATCCCTCAGCAGAAACCACACTTACAAGTAAAAGATCTATCACACTATGGGACACTTTAGGATTTATACAGTGCTGTATAATAATCAAAAAGTACAAGAACTTTCAAACAACACTATTATTATCATATGCTCCAAGTGGTAAAAGAAGAAGATTACACTGGAATATTCCAGTTCATACTTCCGCTCAGATACCTCTGTCTTTGTCATCACCCCAGACACAAAGTCGAATGGGGGCCAAACGTCACAGTGCAATGCAGGGAATCTGGCACCATCCTTACAGAACTAGATGGACCGGTTCCTTTGAGTACCTGGAACACCAACACCCAGCTTTCTACAAGTATGTGAGAATTCTTTGTCAGATAACAACAACAAAAAAGGAGAAAAGCTTGTCAAATGTTTCATTTAAGTACACGGAAATAAATAAATGCATTTAGTTACTTTCTACCTTTGTGTTTAGGCTACCAGTCTAACTTCACTATTAATAGAGCGGCACAGTGACCAATGAAATTCATACATTTATTAAGTAAAGCAGACATTGCTAAGTTGCTCATTCATGTAATTTGATAAACCTGTAAATCAACGTGTTGGATTTTCATTTGATTTTTGCTTAAATCCACCATGATATTATATATGAAGTATTTTATAGTATATTCTAATGCGAGCACTGTCAAAGATACTTTGTTTTACAAAGCAGGCTGATGGCTATCAAGAAATGTTCTACATTTTCAAAGCTATACCCGTGTCTACAGTTAGTTATTCAAACATGTTTACAGAAGGTCTGACCATAGATGGAATACTTTTCTGAGGATGTGTCCGGAATGTTACCGGAGTGTTAGTAATTGCCTATGCACATTGGTATCTTGCTGATCCGAGAAAAAGAAAAAAAAACAAAAAAACAACAACAGCGGAAGTGTTAGTCATTACAAAGGTATCTATGTGTAGATTCTCTGCTGTTTCAGTACAAGGAGTTCAGATGGCAAGAATGCCACCACGGATCATGTACTTGAACCTGGAGAGCTGCATAAGGCTTCATTAGAAAATGGAACAGACCATATTACATATTATTTCCCCTTCTAATTATTTCCAGAATTTAACATAAGATATTTAAGTCTGTAGTGATTGGTTTTTCCACTGGTACTGGGACCGATAAAGTTTTTGTTAACATCAGTATCACAAAAAAATGGCCTAAGGAAACATTTTACTGCTTTAACAGAACTGATTTAAATGCTTATCTTCCTAGCTCTAAACTTAAATGTCTCAAAACAGAGACACTGGAAACTAAAACAGTGCACTGTCAAATTTAATATCCATTTAGAATTTAGACTTATGTTACATAAACATGTTTATTTGAAACTGGGCCAAAGAACCCAAAGTCAAATGCAAACTGAATGAATATACCCTTCTGGGAATTATGCATTAGTCAGGCATTATTGTATTTTCTTTGGGGAAGTATCAGGCTAGTGCATGAAGATGGATTGAATAACTCAATGGCTGCACAGGTTGCACCTGAAACATGTTTATTAGCTTCAGTTTAGATGTAATTGGAGTGAAACCCATTAGGTGGGATCGGAGTGGAAATGGGGTCTAATCCATGGATCAGTTTCTCCATCATTCAACAGTCAAGATTTTAGTTTTACTGTCTTTCTTGGTTCACGGCCATTATCCCCACACCCATGAGTATCAATGTTTTCTAGAACGTTGTAAAACTGTGAGCTGTAACAGTAGCAAATCCCTCAGCAGAACCTACGCTTACAATAAAAGATGGTAAGAAGGTTCTGTGTATAATACTTCCATAATATCTATAATGCTTTCACCTTTGTGTAATATTCCTGTTGTTCTGTTTTGCAGTAATACATTGGTAGTACAGTTTGCTAAATATACTATTGTCACTGGCCATGTTTACTATATAATTCTTACAGAAATTTTTAGAAATTACTGTTGTATTACTATTAATCTGCTTTATAAGGTGGCCTCCTAAAGAACTGTGCCATACTTCAAAATGTATTTTAGTTCATTGTGTTAGGAAACAAAGTGTCAAACCAAGTGGCACTTTTCTTAAACAGACCATTTCAAGTCTGTAATTTCTTTTTGGCAAAGTATTCTTTAAAAAAGGCAGCTGGTGTGTTTCATGTTCATTTCTTTGAGCAGTTTCTTTGCAGACTTCTGCAGGTTTGCGTCCGGAATGCCTTCGTACACTTCTGAGCTCATGATCCCATCAATGAACACAAGCTCAACAAAACCACTGTAAGAAAACAGGCCCAGACTTTGACGTTTCCACCTTAGTACCCTTTGCACAGTCTGGTAGGAATTCTTCTCCAGGCCTTGTCCACACCAAGATTCAGCTATCAGCCTGAACATGTGCTAAAAGTGGTTTTCTGAAAAAATATTAAAAACCATTAAAAGTGTTGTTTCTGGTGGTGTCCAATAGCCAAAAATGGTATTTTGTGTTTTCCTGATGGGTTGATATCACAGTGTAAATGATTTTATTGGTTTACCAGATGTTCTGGGACCTATTCTATATGCATTTAATGCTTTCTTGATGGAATCTGAATGTGTCTTACAGGAAAGTAGTTGTGTCTAAAGCCAGTCCATTTAACTACATTATAAAGCAAAACCTTCAGGTTTCAACAAGGAAGGAATGTCATTAAAGTTTAGCAAAGGTTAAATGGTTAGGGCTCTCTCACTTTCAGTGAAGTTCTGCTTATTTTCTACACCTACAGCCTATGAAAATGAATGACAAATGTATTTTTACCTAAATATGTTATAACATCCAACGCTAGCTAAAGCAATAGCTACAAATTAGCCATTTTATTGCTACAAGAAATTTTCACCTCAAAACACAACACAACTATCAACCATTCTTCTTCTTCTTCTTACTGTTATTATATCGAGTTTAAGGCATATCATTCTACTGTTTAGTTTAATTTAAACCACTCGCAAATATGTTTTAATTCCGGCCTATAGTGCTACAGCACATCTTCACATAGCTGAGGGAGTTTCGGTTGAAGTTTCTTCAGCTACGCCCTTGTGAGGCTGTGGGTGGAGTCCTGCGCTCAGGTGCCAATAAGTAGACTGAGCAAATTTCAGCTCAGCAAGAAGGTGAAGAGAGTGCGAGTTCAGCAAGGCGGGCGCTGGTGAGCCGTCCAGGTTTGTTGGGTCTTGATCTTTAAAGCTGGTTTTTCCTCCTCATATTTTACGTTTATCGCATTCCTTTGCTGTTGAGAGGCTAATAGTGTTCATTACGCTAGCCTAACTCGGACAGACTGAGATTTGTGTTACTTCTTAGTAGAAAGACACTTGAAAATGAGGCTGAATTTGGGTTCTTATTCGCTAACGTTAGCTTCTTGTTCGAATTTTCCCGTTCCACCTTAAGTAGTGCAGCAGTTACATGTAAGTGAATGAAGCCTAGTAAGAAGGTGGCTTCAGCTTCGCTGCTTGGTAGGAATTCAAGCAGCGAGTTTGTCTAGGGTAAATTTATCCAGAAGTTTGGAGTTTTTGGGGTGTTATGTGATGTCCACAGACGTTTTTCCAGGTTTTAATAAATGAACTCTTCCTTCATTCAAGTCCTCTGTGGTGGCAGGTGTGACGGAACAGGTAGTTAGATAAGTCTTGTGTAAACTAGGTGTAGTTCTGTAATCTGTATCTGGGTGGATTTTCAAATACTTTCGCAACGTTGTTGTGCCGGTTGTATGTCTTCCGTGCTCCGTCGTTCTTTTAGTTGTAGGCTGTGTGTGGACAGACCTGTGGTTTGGGCACTTTTATGGAACTAAAGCCCTCGTTTTCAGTCATAGTTTTGCTTATAGGCTGTAATAATAACAGAATTTGTGAAATTTCTTGGATTTTGAGATGGTTCTTGGAAATTACAGTGTGGGCTTTGTGGTTTGGTGTCAAGTTTGCTTCTGTTGGGACTGGTCTGACGTGAAGTTGAATGTCCAGTTCTTTCACAGACCTTCTTTGTGTACTAAATTAAGTTTCTTCTGTTTTCAGGAGGAAATAAACACAGTTAGAAAATGGCCTTTAACACACTGACCTCAAGTGCTGCCTTGCTTTACGATGAGTGGATGAATAAAGCAGGTGAGTTAAATCATTTTTTATATTTTCGTGTAGGGATGGGTAACATGGGATGAGGGGGAGGATATAACATCATGATACCAAAAGACATTTTCATGATCTATAAGGATCACAATATTTAGTTTATCTGTTTTCAGTGGTGCCACATTAAACTATCAAACTATGAATACAGTGACTTGTATGGATTACATTGCATTAAATCTAATTAAACAGGACTAATTATACATAATAATTCATCATAATGATAAATATGGTAATATAATTGCCTACCCTTATTTTGGTGTCTGCTAAGGGCTTCTTCAATAAGAATGTGTTTCATGGTGACTTTTCTTTTTCTTCTTCCTTCCCCTTGTACATAGACCCACGAGTTGAGGACTGGCCCCTAATGTCCTCCCCGTTTCCTCAAACGGTGATCATCCTGTCCTACATCTACTTCGTCTCAACGCTGGGGCCCCGTCTAATGGAAAACCGCAAACCCTTTGACCTGAAGCGGCCCATGATCATCTACAACTTCAGCATAGTTGCGTTCTCTCTCTACATGATTTACGAGGTAAGGAACCTGTGTGTTTTGTTCTAAACTTATGATGTGCTAGATGTTCCAGGCTCTGATTTTTGGAACAACAATGTGGTGAATTTGTCACTGAGAGAAGGGGTTGGATGTGTGTTGCTCCTTTTAATTTACTTAATTAGAATTACAATGAAGACTAGAGTTACGTTGCTTGATATTTGATGGTCCTGGTCATGCCTCAGTGTACTACAGCCTTAGGGCCACCAACTCTTTTCTGCTCTCAGTTATGACCTAGGCCTGAAGTAGATGGTCATGACTGTAATCCTGTCTGACTGCAAGAATCAGTAGTCAATAATGTATGAAGTTGTAATTGCTTGCTTTTCATTGTGACCAAAACTATGTGGGTGGGGTAAGAACATGAGCTCTTGAGGCATCAAGACAGCAAAGGTGTGGAAGGGTGTGTACCATTAAGCTGATGTAAACCAAAATGGCTTTATTTTTTTCCTCTCCAGTTTCTCATGTCTGGCTGGGCCAATGGATACTCATACAGGTGTGATATTGTGGACTACTCCAGCTCTCCTCAGGCTATGAGGGTAAGACTATGACAGGATTCTGATAGTTATGGATATATTTATCTACTTGATTCCTTGTGTAACACCATTTATGGTTTCCATTATAGATGGCATGGACCTGCTGGCTGTACTACTTCTCCAAGTTCATTGAGATGTTGGATACTGTAAGTACTGGGTTTGTCTAGTGAGTGCTTGTTTCAGAAGCATTGTTTGCATTATAAGGGTGTGGTGGTCTTTCTTAACATGAGTCTCCCTTATCTTGATAGATTTTCTTTGTCTTGAGGAAAAAGAACAGCCAAGTGACTTTTCTCCATGTGTACCATCACTCCATTATGCCCTTCACCTGGTGGTTTGGGGTCAAGTTTGCTGCAGGTAAATTAATAAGAAACAGTATGTGTATATCTTATAATTACCTTTTACACTTTTTAGAGAATCTAACTGGAACATCCTGTCTTACCAGGTGGTCTAGGAACCTTCCATGCTCTGCTGAACTGCTGTGTCCATGTCGTCATGTACTCCTACTATGCCCTCTCTGCTATGGGACCAGCCTATCAGAAGTACCTCTGGTGGAAGAAGTACATGACCACCATTCAGCTGGTAAGCAGTGTTGCCCCCCCCTTTACTTTTGCATAGGCATGGCACATGTAGCATATCAAGATACTGACGGACATCTTTTGTTTTTTAGATTCAGTTCGTGATGGTAACCGTCCACATTGGTCAGTTCTTCTTCATGAAGGACTGTCCTTACCAGTTCCCTGTGTTCTTGTACATCATTGGCCTCTACGGACTGATCTTCCTGGTTCTCTTCCTTAACTTCTACTACCAGGCGTACACCAAGGGAAAGAGGCTGCCCAAAATCTTTCAGAATGGAATGTGCCATCAGAATGGCGTGCACAAGAAGACTGAGTAAGAACTCCGTGGTCACCTAAAAGTGAAGATCCTGCAGCTTTTAAGTTGGGCTATTTCTTTAATCATTTCAGAGAATTTCACCCACCATGTTTTATGTTAAAACTTTGTGGAATGCCACCTTATCACTGGATGTATATTGCCAAACTAGCACATTTGTGGTTTTTTCACTGACAATGGTCTGGTTTGTACGGTCTTCACTTGGGTTCTGAAATGTTTATGGGGTGTACAATATTTGTTCTAATATCCCCTGTCTTGTACATAGTTATTTAAATCCCAGCATTTGGATTTTGAACCTGCTGCTGGTTGAAATGAAAACATGGGTTGTGAGAGCAGAGGTATCAGAGGTTTTTAATGCTATTGGTCTCTGAAGGGGCAGTGAAGGTTGTTTTTAAATGTAGGCAGACAAAAAAGGCCTGAAGCCCTTTCCCCAAGAAGAGCATGACTGACTACCTGATTAGCTCGAGTCCTTGCGTTTGAGTGACAAAAGTGATAGCTGGGGTTCTTTTTGAGCCTTGTCTTATTTTTCAATGTTTAATGTAAGTTTATTATGTAATCTAAGTTTTTGTTTTCTTTCTTTTTAAACAAAAAATCTGACTGAGGCATGTTAAGTTCTTCAAAGAACCAAACTTGCCAATGAATTGAATGATGGTGGCCTCTGGGGTTGCATCTTCCCTAGTCATGTTACCTTTTGTACTATAAAGTGTTTTGCATTTGTATACATTGCTCTATTTATATGTATTTTTTGTGAAATGGAAAAACTGTACCTTTTTACTGAACAAAATAAATTGTCCACATTTCCCTGAGTTTATCGACGTTTTGCCACTGAATTTAGAGAGCTGTCCCGGAAGTTTCCAGCACCACATTTGGTTTGGTGGCGTAGCTTGATCATGTGACTTCATTGCCCAATCGCGTCGCTCCAAAGAAAGTGCCCACTTTCAAAACTAACCAGTTTGCTGTGAGAGTAAATGGCATCGGATAAGCAGCGACGTAACGAGCGAGGTTAGATATGTAAGCTAGCTGTATAAGGTGGTTGGAATTTAAAATGAACCCTTTCATTTCGATATGACAAGACTAGGCTGTTAAAACTGTTATAGGAGAAGAATGGATGGAAATATGATCGGCCCGGGTCCCTACAGGGCAACAAAGTTGGTAAGTTTGCCAAGTAGAGCTGGCTAACGACAACTAGCTCGCCACACCGAGAAAATATGTCAGAGCTTCAAGCTTGTTTGTGCCCAGCTAGCAGCGAAATTTCGTTTTGTTTTAGCAGAGTACTTGATTCAAGCAGTACTTTTTATATGATTTATTTTAAGCCACGATAAAGGTGGCTAACGCTAGCAGCGTTAATATTAGTTTAACAATGAGAATATTTAATAATAAGAATCATAAAGCTACTTCTGTGCTGTGCTAAAAACACACATTGAACCCTGCTGTTAACTGCTTGGTGAAATGCTAACAGTGACCGCTCATATATCGATACGAAACTAACTCATTGTGTGCATACCTTAATGTTTAAACGGTGACACATAACGCTAGTGTACGTAACTTTACAGCAAATGCACGCGCTAGTGACGACAGCAAGACTGATTTTGATCCTGATTTTGATCAGATAACTAACCTACGTTGTTCACTCTGGAGCATTAAAGAGGAATTCCATGTTCACTACTGCATATTTCAGTCGTTGAAGTAAACACTGGTTAGATGTAGAGAAACTTGGTGATTGAGGTTTTCTTTACAGTCTTGCTGAGGGGAACTGGGTGATGTCTATAACGCAAATATAGCGATTTTATTTGCTGTCCAAACAGACGAGTGAACCTACACGTTTTTCTGAGTCTTTATATATAGTGTTGAAAATGGTGAGATGGGAATCTAAAAATAAGTTTTCTTGGAGTATTATTCTGCCTTACGACGTATTAACTCTTGCTGTGTATTTTAAAAATGTTTTAGGCCGAAATGTTATCTCAAAATTAACGGGCCATCAGGCAGCGTATTCATTATCATTTCATGCGAGAGCATTCTGGGAAGTAGCTTTGAGTGGCATTGAATTCTTCACACGTCTGGTTCCTATCACCACCACTGTGAACAATTCTGACTCTGTAAGTTTCTCTAGAACGGAGCATTTCACATCAAACCACTCTGAATGACGTTGGTTTCATATTAACATGTGAACTTTGCAAAAATCAGTGGATTTTCCCTTTAACATCAATGAGAACACATGGACTCAAGCCTACTTTAGCTAGTGGTTAAAGGGGAACGCTGATTTTTCAACATTTCTGCATAACTAAATGGTTAACGTGTCAACAAAGTCATTCAGAGTAGTTTGGTGTGAAATGCTTCATTTTAGTCAAACTTACAGAGTCAGAATTATTCACAGTGGTGGTGATGCAAACCAGACGTCTGAAGAGTTCAACGCCTCTAAAAGCTCACAGAAAGTTACATGAAGTGGGTATAAATACACTGCCTGATGTCTGATATATTGTTTTACAATAGTTTTGTGATGAAGTTTTTTGGTCTAAAACATATTTTAATCCATTTACTTTAATCAATTAATGGTGGAAGGATACATGAAGGGTGTTCTAAGGCAAAATAGTCCCCAAAGAAAACTTTTTTCCCCCAGATTGACCACTGTTTTACCATCGTCAGCTTTGTATATAAATACTCAAAAGACACATGTAGGTTCACTGGTGGTTTTGGATAGTAAATAAAATGGCTATATTTGTGTTGTAGCCACCGTGACCTCTGGTTCCTATCAACACCACTGTAAAGAAATATGAGTCTGTAAGTTTCTCTATAATTAACAACTTCGAATCAAACCACTCTAGATTACTTTGTTTACATCTCAACCTCTAAATTGTGCGAATATTTAAAAAAATCTGCCGTTTTGTAAGGCCGGAGTAGACAGACATAAAAATTTGCAGTGTACACTCCATTGAGTCTTATGGCCACAAAAGTGGAAAAATGTGTATACACATTGTCTACTTTAATTGAAGTAGGTGACAAATCCTGCTTTGTGGCAGCATTCTCCTGGGTGTCAGTAGATAATTCTTCAAAAATTGAGCAACTTTTTGGAATGATTGCTATCAGTACTTTTTCTTCTTTTTTTTTCAGTGGAATGAAACGGTCAAGCTTTTTCGTGGAGGAATGCCGCTACGAAGACACTGGGCACATTTTCGGAGTTATGATAACAGTTTCACAGGATCTGAAGGCATTGATTATCTGCATGAACTACTAAAGCGGAACCAGAATTTTGGGCCCGAGGTGACCCGTTATCAGTCTCTCCAGTTGCTGAGGAAGTTTCTTAAGAACCATGTTATTGAAGATGTTAAAGGACGTTTTGGTAATGAGGACTTTGATGACAATGGACGTTTGTACAGGTGTGGTGATGTAATTTTAACTGCTTATTTATTAATGATGTATGTTCACTTCTGTAATGATTGAAGAGCTGTATAACGAACAAAATAATGTCCTTTTTTGTCTATTCAGATTTCCACCACAGTCACCTCTCAAGCCCCTTCCTCAGCGCGTGCCTATATCACAGAGAAATTTCATTCCCCCAATCCCACGGTGGGATGACTGTGAGGAGATGCAAGGGCCCAACAAGATACCCATGAAACCTCTTGTTTTGGTGAGGGATATAAAAATGCATGAAACTCAGATGTTATGTGAGAAAAATGTATTTTCTCTACAGGACGTTATGAGTTTTTGTTCTCGTTAGAATTCAGAGTCGTGGAACAAAAGGCATAGTATTGCTATAGGGGAAGTGCCAGAATGCAAACTGATTCGGAGAAAAGAGATCACACCAAAGCATGTGGACCAGATATGGAAGTCGATGACATTAACCCAGTAAGTGTTCGATCAGAACATGCCAGTACATGTATTTTATTGATATGTTCATAGTGTGTCTTATGTTTTTCTCGTGATTAACTTTGTTCTCGGTTAGCTTACAGAGTGTTTTGGGGCTCCAGTCTTTAGATGGGGTTCTCGATGCCAAACTCTTGAGCCCAAAACACGTTGTTCATAATGTATTCAGTGTCAACAAACAAGGCATTGTCATTCTGAAGAACAAGTCAGGTGAGTAAGCTGCTGACCCCATATTAATCTGAACTAGAATATGAATGTGTTCGTGGTATCCATAATGGTTTCATATTGGTGGCATCTCTTCTATTTTACAGAGGATTTACCCCACTGGGTATTATCTGCAATGAAATGCCTGGCAAACTGTGAGTCTGAAAATATCATATTTTTGCAATTACTAATGTGTGTATATATAATTTCTAGTTAAAATAACTATTGCTTATGCTCTTTCAGGGCCAAATGGAAATGACAGCAAGCAGCCCATGTATCCTGGATTTGAGCGAGATGTCTTTAGAACAGTTGCAGAACATTTTCAGAAATTAAAAGAGCCGCTGTTGACATTCCATCTGTATGAAATCTTTGTCAGCATCTTGGGTAAGAAACAGAATACAAGGAAGCTCTTACCAACAGTGATGGTAAAGGGAAGGGTTTGGATGTGCTGTAATTTTAGCCAACTTATTTGCACAGTACTTTAAAAATGGTAAAATTTACTTCATGAAGAAAACATAATACTGCAGTACTTCTGTTTATGTGAAGAGCTTGTGTCAGCATTTGCAAAATGACAAGATTAAGTATGAAATAAGGACATTGTATTGACAGGTGGGCCCTTAAGCTAAAGTGATGGACATTTTGTTCTAGTTATATAATATTAATGGACATTTTGTTCTAGTTATATAATATTAATGGACATTTTGTTCTAGTTATAATATTAATCACCAAATCATCATTCCCAAATAATGGAACCTATCAGGCAGTGGCCTACTTAAAGGCAAAAATTATATGGTTAATGTTAAGTTGTAGCAATAGTTTGGCAAAAAAAATCTAATTTTCATGATTTTTCCACTTACCTCAAATGCAATCGATCAGCCAAGACATGTGGTGTCCACATTTTGCTTGTTTAGTTTAGAGCTGGAGCTGGAACTGCTAGGCTAACATTGCTAACACACATTGGAACTCAATAGCCATGCCAACCATTTCCATAAACGCCAAAAATTTCCAAAACTTCTCTCAACTCCCCCAAACTGCATCCAGGGTTTTTTTCAGGTCACACTGACAAGTTGATGTGGTTTAGAATAATGTAAGACTTGTGTGAAGTTTAAAAAGAAAGAAAGAAACAAAAAAAAAACGATATGCAACTTAACTCTCTTGCAGTAAGCAAGCCTTAGGTATTACTGCCAACGCCATATACCTGCATAATGACATTTTGGGGTAACAGGAAAATCGTGTAAATTTGATTTTTTGCCAAATTGTTCTTTTAAATGGAACAGATGTCTGTGACTGTAGTCTAACGGCACTAATGCATGTATAAGTTCTATATTAGTTGTTATAAGTTCTGATGTAGGTGGCCTTCCAGTAAAAGTGTTACCAATATTTTTGTTTCAAAAATAAAATTTGACACGAATGTTATTATTTCTTAGTTTCTTAACCATACTTAAAGAAAACTGGGCTGTGTAGTGTTGCTGAACATGCACTATTTAACACTGGTTTGCAAACACATTTTTTCTTCAATCCTTCCCTCTCCTCAGGACTTCTTCCAAGAGAGCAGATTGCGGTCGAAGCGCTGCAGGTGTGCTGCCTCCTCCTGCCGCCAGCCAACCGTCGCAAGCTGCAGCTGCTAATGCGCCTGATGGCTAAAGCCTGCCATAACCATGCTCTCCCTCCACTCAATGATGCCATAGGAACTCGCACCCTTGTACCTCATTTTCGTATTTCTTTATAGTTAAAGTTGAAGTATTTGTGTATTGTCTGTTTATTTTCCAAATTCCGGAGGTACTTGTTGATTAATTTCGACTTATTTGCAGTTTTAATAGAACTGTTCCTTTTCATGCTCTTGTTTTTCTTTTCTTTTTTTCCGCTTTTTGGCAGATGGTCCAGACCTTCTCCCGCTGCATTTTATGTTCTGCAGATGAAGTGGATTTGGATGAGCTGTTGGCTACCAAGCTGGTCAACTTCATGTTGGACAACCATGAGAGTGTCCTGAAGGTCCCTGCTGAACTGCATAGATCTGTGGAAGAACATTTGTCCCATCTGCGAAGGGCTCAGGTTAGCCACATGCACAGGCACATGCGCACATATTAAGACTATTCTAAACTAGTGCATATTCTAAAGTATTGCGGCACCATTTAGATAAAATATTGTATTGTGATTCTGTTGCTGCATATTGCAATAGTGATATGCCCCAAAATATTTCAAAAACACAATTGTAAACCCTTTGATGTGGCAAAGCTTCACAATCTTTTATGAAAATTACGTTTCTTTGGATCATATGGATGCCTCGTTTCATCAAAAAAACCCACTAAACACTCAAGTAACATAGTGATTGGTTAAGATGCTCACAGCACACTATAACTGTGTCTGTGATTGCACACAGAGCTTGTTCACATATCTCACGCTGCAATATCAGTAGTGCACAAGGTAGTATAAGTTCATTAGTTCCTTATCCCTTCATAAGATCTAGACGGTCTATAATGCAGCTTCCCGTCTTCTCACTAAAACAGCTTTTACATGTTGGTATTAAAAACTCGTTGTTCCATGCTGGTACACACCCAATGGCAGCATGCCGCCATGCAAACGTTGGCATGGTGACAGCGTCACAGGCAGAATGGATGATTTATCAGAGGAGAGCTTTGGCAGTGTTGATTGTTTACTTAAAAAAGAAAAAGCAGGAGGATGCATTGGAGACATCTGATTCCACCACCGCAGACAATGGCAAAAGTTGGGAAAATTTAACTCCTGACAATGTTCCGCTGCCCTCTGCTGCTTTCGCTCTGTTAAAACAACTGATAATACTGCCGGCCATGTAAATTCAGCATAAAACCTGGTCCTGGCATCAGATTACACCTATTCCCCAAAACCTCCACTGGTTCCTTGTAAAGTATTGCATACACTTTAAAGTTGTTTTGCTCACATAAAAACCCTCGATAATCTTGCTCCTCCTTTGGCTGCATTCAGACGGCGGAGCATATTCTGCAAATATGCGCAGAATGTGCAACCTGTGAGAATTCTACCCGTGAGATGTTTTGCAAAGCAGTGAAGCAGATATTTATGGGCGGTGCTATGGGTGGAATGTTTAATATCACGTCACACGAAATAAAAAGCGTTGGCTGAAGCGATGAGCTGCATTTTTGTCTACTTGTACTTTTTGTAAGTGTACTTTTTCGCCATGTTTTGGTTTCGCACATGCATGGAAACAGTGTTTTAGGTCATTGTAAAGGAGCTTTTGGAAAATGCTCTCCATGCTGGAGACTTGCTGTTTTCTGTGTTTTCATGTGGATGGATGTTTCTGAAAACAGTGACATCACACGCATACTTCTATTTTACAGTTGGCAGACATTCTTTATGGCCCTGCATGTCTGACATGACTAATAACTGGGCTTCTTTTTCTTTTGCGACCATGCAAACTAATTAATTTGTCTTTGCCTTATCTTCAGAGGAAAAAATTATTTGAAAAACAATGCAAAGTTCTTGTAGAATCAAACCCTACATAACAGCATCTGGACTACAATGTAGGATTTGTTCATGCATTGTTCCATTATTGTTTCTGCCCCTCTAACACGGAGTAGTATTAGCGTTTCTGAGGGCATTGCAGAAAGCATCTTGTGACAATCTTGATAAAAGAAGATAGCGTAGATGTTTTATGTTTAAAAGAGGATTGTGCAAAAGGAGGAATAATCCTTGTGTGTTATTGGTAGACCACTGGCGGCACCTTTTTCTTTTCTTTTAGTTTATTTGAACTCTATTGATCGCATCAGCCTGCTCACATTGTCTTGTTTTTAACAGATAAAGTATGCAGGTGCAGACACAGACTCAGCAGTGGACTCCCCACTGCACGCTTACTGCAGGCAAATCAGCAGGGAGGAGTTTGAGGAGCAGAGGGTTACAGCCTCGCAGAGAGCTATTGTGGAACTACTGGAAGGCATTATTCAAGACAAGTTGATGTCAGCAAAGGACAAGAAGAAGAAGTTAAAACAGGTGAGATGGTGATTTGCAAGTGTGGCCTTTTGGAGCCTATGACATGCTGCACATGTGTTTCACTAAATTACATTATTATCATGATTATTTTAAATATTACATATTTAATACATATTATTAGAGTTATTAAATTACATTAATTAACTGTTGACATAAAACCAAATTTTAAAATCCAAAACATGATTGGATTTGAAGCGAAGCTTCATTTGCCACAGTGAAGAAGCTCAGATGATGATGATGATGATAATGATGATAATCATAATAAGAATAATAATAATACACACACACATATGTTTTCTAAGCCGCTTATCCGTCTGGGTCGCGGGGAGAGCTGGAGCTTATCCCAGCAGTCATTGGGCGGAAGGCAGGAAACACCCTGGACAGGTCGCCAGTCCAGCGCAGGGCAAACAGACAGACATATACATTCACACACACACTCACACCTAGGGGCAATTTAGCATGCCCAATTGGCCTGACTGAATGTCTTTGGACTGTGGGAGGAAACCCACACAGACACAGGGAGAACATGCAAACTCCACACAGAAAGGAACCTGGTCACCCGGCCAAGAATCAAACCCAGGCCCCTCTTGCTGTGAGGCGACAGTGCTACCCACTGCCCATAATAATAATAATAATTGAAGGTGTAAGGATAGAAACACACACACACACACATATACACATATCTTCTAAGCCGCTTATCCTTCCAAGTCACGGGGGGAGCCTAAGGATAGAAACATTAGCTATCTATTAATTATAAAAAACCTTGAGGATGAGGCTGCACCCATTACAAAATATCATTCAGGCCGCTGGTTTATGACTGTAATCAGAAATGTGGAATGTTTTTCCTGCACTAGTTTCTTATTTTGTCATTATGTTACATGATGTTAAACAAGAACCACTTTAATACTCTTGGTTTAGCTTGGCTATATTTTAATCTTCAATCTTTTTCTGCCTCAGTTCCAGAGATCCTATCCTGACATCTACCGTAAACGCTTTCCTACACCTGAGAGCGAAGCCGCAGTGCTTCCAGAGAGGCCTCAGCGGCTCAAACCCCAGCTGATGTTCCTAACACTAAAGAAGCCTCTGCAACCCTTCCAGAGGAGCTGGAGTTTTCGCGCTTGAAAATATGGTTGGTTCTTCATGAAGACGCCAAGTGTTGTAAGAAACTGTCTGCAGGCTTAAAAGAGCTGATATGATTTTCAGCCTGTTGTTTTTAAAATGTAATGGTTTGTTTCAGGCATGTGACATAAAAACCTGCTGCAGGTGTTGACCACCTACTTGCTGGTTTGTTTATTTGTCATCCCTTTTTTCCTGATAACCTTACTTTCAGTAAAATCCAGTAAGTGTTACAAGCTGGACATTAAGACAAAATTCAGTTGATTAGCATCTGAGTACTGAAGCTCCTGGCTAATACTGGCATGTTCCATTTTTGGAATAGACTTGGGGGGAAAAGGACACTGGATTTGAAATTCATTCATTTGACACAACGTAGTGTGATCATACTTTCTGTCTCAGTGAAAAGCCTTATATGTCTGTGTTTTTCAGACAACATAATATTAAACTTCAGTTCAAATACTTGAATCCTGCATAAAAGTATAAACTCACCAGCCTTTTTATTAGACACCCTTGCCTTGTAGCTCCACTTTGTACAGTTAGTAAATGTAGCCCATCTGTTAAAACAGTTTGTAAGTCATCCCCTAACCTTTCATTAGTGGTTAGTTTCTGACCACAGAGCCGCTCTTGGCTGGATATTTTTTGGGTGGTGGACCACTCTCAACCCTGTAGTTGATGTAGTCTGAGTTGTACATTTGGAAATTGGATCTTCAAGGTAGGTGGGCTTCAAAGTGGCCAGTGAACAAGGTTGGTGTTTCTAATAAAGGATAAAGTGAGTGGTGAGCGTATACTTACCTGTATACTAGTTAAGTTTTGGGGAAAACCCATCATTTCATTAGAAATTCTATTTATAAACACTAAAGCTGTATCAGTAAGAAATCATTTTATACTGCAAGGTCTGTTTATATTTACGACGTTATTATTTAGAAATTGATCCTTTGTTCTCAATTCATTGAGTTTTGGAGCATTTAAGAATCTTTTCGTGTTGATCTGGTTGTAGATTTTTTCAGATTAAATGGTACAGTGTTATTTTTTTGGTTACTCAAACAGTATCAGTAATGCTTTTTAGAATGATTTGTTTTTAGATGTTTGCCAGACAAAGAGGCTACAACATCATACTGCACTCAAAACATGTCAGTGACATCTGTAAGGTCTGTTAATGTCATAATACATAAAGCTTACAGGTTAAGGCTAGATAGGATTTATCTGCATATTGCAAACACGCCTACTTCATTTCAGGCGAAGATTTGATGTGAAATTGCATTGTAAACTAGGGGTGGGCAATATGACAATGTTTATCATTAATATGGTAAATTGTGTCATTACATCACTATGCTTTTTCTGAGGATATGGTGGATATCATCAGTACTTCAATAACAATGACTATTTTTTGCAGTGCAGTTCAATTAAAAATCACTGTGCTGAAGTTTGTAAATTTGGCTTTATTTGTTCGTTTTTTGTCTTCCAACTTATCCAACCTCAGAAAAACTAAATAACTTGTATTGTGACAATCTTGAAGTATTGAAATATTATATTTTGCCACATCACCCACCTCTATTCTATTCTATAATGAGGTAAAGAAAGATTTCAAATTGCCCTTAAAGTCAAGTTTAAGATTTTTAAATTTTGTTTATTTGAGGTGATAAATAACATGTCTCACTGTGTATATGTTTGTCTTCGTGATACATAGAAATGCTGGAGTTACTGTTACTGTCTAGAATGCTGCACGTGATCATTGCTGGAATTATGTGAAAATACATATTGAAAAGAATTTCGTATGAAAGTGTGTCATTTATTTTAACGGCAAAGTTTTTATTATTTTTCAAAACAAAAAAAGGATCTCTATTGAAACTATATTCTACTGTATCTATGAAACCATATTGAATTTTTTTTTATATTTAAACCTGGACATAAAGAGTTTTAAAATTTTAAAAAATGTTACTTATGGCAGTTAAAATAAAGACATGTTTAAAACTCTCCACTATTCCAGGATTTTGTACAAAAAGGTCACATAGTTGTGTTTTGTCTCATTCCTTCCTTTGAAATGTTCCTTCAGACTTTCAAAGATTATACCTTTTCACTTAGTTTGTTATGCTGTAAAACTTTGTATTAAATTGGACTGCAATTTAATGGAACGCAAATTAGAAGCATTTTCACCAGTGGTCTCAGACTTTTGGACCCCACTGTCTATAACAATACACTATGATCTGTGCTGGAATTACAGTATAATCAGTTCTCAGTTTAATCTGTCATAAATGTCAGATTTAATCTGTTAAATGTCAGCTATTAAATTGACCTAGTGATGTCCAGCATCCTGAATTATTCACACATAATCAAACTTTTCACACTGTGGATTGGAACAAAGATCACAGAATAGTTCACTATTTATCACCTAGATAATCATAATACTGTGATGCATTTGGGAAATGCAAGAGCAAATTTGTTTTCATGGTATTTCTAATTTTCAAGTGTTTTAAGCACAACTTTCCATCATAAATAGCACACACAGATCAGAGAAGATGCCTCAGCTGTTATCTTTAATGAGTAGCTTGACCTTTTCCAATCTAATATCTTGCAAGTTAACTGCTAACTGTGTTTGCTGCACTCGTACAAATAACTCCAGCATACTCCATGCCCTCCCACCACGAGTTCCTGTGAACCACCATGCTACTGACGTAAGAAACGTCATTACTGACTCCAGCAGGGGCCTTGTTCGTTATCCTTTGAAAGGTGGCAGGAACATTTTTCATCTGGAAAGGAGAACTGTGCCGTGATATAATGAATTATGAGTCATAAAGACTGAAATTTTCTTTTTTTTTGGTTTGACAGTGGCACCTGCAACAAGTTTAGGTCTGCATGTTTGGTCTGTGCAGTGTGACACCCTAGACTTCTGCTAGCATGCTATCTCCATATGCTCTGATAGCATTCTGGCAATGTTACTACTATGTTCAGTACTATGACAGTTCAAATCAAAGTGCGTCATTGTGAGAGACACTAGTGCTGTTTCGATTCTGGAAATTCTGGAGTCGACTTTCATTCCAGTTGATGGGAACTGATGTAGTTGATCCCAAGAGCAGTTTCCACAAAATAGTTTTCTTAATTTTTGATTCCGAAACCTGAATTTCCTGTGAAATTATGAGTAAGACTCATATGAACAAAGGCCAAAAATCACTAGGAGAATTTCAACATTTTGGTTATGGTTGGCAAATCCGAATGGCTCTGCGACAGTTTTGTATTACAGTGTTTTCAGGTTACTGCTTTAGACAAGCAGTCAAATCTGCCCCTTGTGCGTGTGTGGATGCTATTGCACACATTACAAAGCTGAATGTTTCTGTGAATCTTCTGTTTTTACCATAGATATACAAACATTTTGGTTATTATCCACTTTTTCAACCATATTTAATATATATACAATTTTTTGCTAGAACAGGCAAACTCGAATGTCACTATGTGAAATAGAATCAGAAGTTTGTAATTGACTCCCAGTCCTAATTGACATCTTCTGATTGCAATATAAAGGCAATACCCAGACTGCATAGGAAACATTAGTCTTTGTAGAACTTTGCTTTATGTGCGTTGTGTCAGTTACACTTACAGTATATGCACATCAAATCATTTGATTTAGCGTGAACATTTGGGGCATTTTTTTTTTTACCACAGGTAGATTGTTGCTGGTGCATCATGATGTGGCTGTTTTACATGCTGACATTTTGAAAAGTGACAAAGATGCTCCTCCAACTCCCTGTGCTGAATTTTTCAACTGGGCACAAATGAAATGAAGCCATTAGTGTTTTAGCAAGTTTATATGCTGCAACATGGCTGAGATGTGGAGGTTATTTGGACCGACTGCTAGTCATACACTATGGGCCAGTTTCCTGGACAGCCTAGTCATTGATTATATTTTCCTTTCAATGGAAAACCTCATAAATCCTGTGTAGTCCAAGCTTATATCTTAAGGCTTAAACCCTTCCTGGGAAACCGGGCCTACATATCTTAAAGTTTGTATATATCTGCTCATAATTTTTCTTCTAATTCGTTTTAATATTGAGTGTGTTTACGTACACTTACTAATCCAATGTCTCATGTCTGTCCAATGTCCAAAATCAGATTTTGTCAATAATTAGTTCAATGTGTTTACCTGCTTTTGGGTAATCAGATAATGGGAAGACTCAGGTCTACAGGAGTAAGGTAGTAATCAGATTTCTGCTTTGCAACCCGCCACTCATAGAATGAGACATGGCATGAATGCAACGTCAAATGTCATGCTGTGGGTTTTTTTATAAACATCAACACTTTAGTGGAAAATATTTATATACATCATCTAGAAGATGAAGAATATTCAAATCCTTCATGTTATCAAGCATGTAGTTGGTTTCAGCATCACTCCAAAAGTGTTTTGTTGCTATCTTGTGGTGTTGTGTTCAATGCTGTTTGCTGTTTCCAAACTGAGAAAAACAAAAGAAATCAGAGTAAGGGTATACATGTGCTGAAAATCTCAATTACTGAGCTAAAGCCTGGGAAGACTTTACATTAGATGTTGGAACATTGCTGTGAGAATTTGATTGCATTGCCATTAGAGCATTAGTGAGGTCAGGTATTGATGTTGGATGTTTAGTTCTACATCGCAAATGGTACTCCGGCTCATTCCAGTTCCGCTGCTCCACAGCCCAATGCTGGGGGACTTTATGCCCCTCTAGCCAGGACCTGACATTCAGTATAATGACCTTAGGCTTGTGCAGCTGTTACAGAGCGTCCTGTTCTATTGGTCAGTACTTTTCTATTGAACTTGATATGAGCTTTGTGAGCACCTGAAATGAGCTGAATTCTCTAATTAGAACTGTCTCTCCATCCTTCCATTTCCTTTACTACATGATTAAACAATATCCTGGCCTTTGTGCAGCCTGTACAGTTTAGCCTACATATTTTCATGCGTAATCTTGTGTTCATTTGCATGCTGTTAATGTGTAACTTGTTCATTTGCATGCAGACCTACTTTATAATTCTCTTTTGTTAAGCCCATTGTACAGTTCAGGGATAGACATTTAAATGATAAATAAATGAAGTGATGGACACCTATAATATTGCATGCATTTGCATGCATGACAGTCAACTTTGTCTCAATGTTCTACTACTTTAATGTTCCCAACTAGATGGCTGTCTAGGGGTGTTTTTCATGATGCAAAGCGACAATCGCCCATCATTGTATACCGTGGTCATTCCACAAACTTTTACATTTTTTGTCATATAATAATTTTTTTAAAAAAAAATATAATTTAGCAGTGTTTAATGCAAACATTCACCAAGAATTGTTCGGTCACCAAATTACCACCACAACACCACTGTGCATTTCTGCTAGCGTCTCAGTGTTGTTTCCTGCATTGTGTTAGCCTCAAGCTACTGGTGCCACATACATTCCCTTTCTGGGTTTAATACTAGATCTCACCAAAAACACAGGATTTGAAGCATGTAAGACATTCGAGTAACAAATTCTTTACTTTTTATTTTGTAGTTTTACAGTGAATTACTCAGTAAATACTGAATATTGATGGAGGAGCTGTTTAGCCTGCTATATTTCAGCCTAGTTGCTCAGATAATAAGCTGTCTGACCTTAAACTGGGTTCTTACTTCATCTAATACACTTGGTGGTCCATGCAAGCAGCATGACAGTCTATTTACAGCACGATGTATCCAAAAGTGTACCCAGACACCCTTCTAATTAGTGAATTTAGTTAAGGTGCACCCACTGTTGACACAGGCATTCAATTGCACACACACAGCTTGTAGAAAACAGTTAGAAAAGCATAATTAATAGAATGGGATGCTCTGGAGAAGCCACACATAATTCTAAGGTCCCCTTAGAGGAGTATAAAAGCACCCCTGCACCGGGCTGTGGAGCAATGGACCCAAGTTCTCTGGAGTTGATGGAGCACCATCCAATACCTCTGGGATGAGTTGGGGTGGTGTTTTTGATCCAGAACTAATCATCCAATGTCACTACCTGACCTCACTAATGCTCTTGTGCCTGAATGCAGTTAAATCCTCGGAGCAGTATTCCAACGTCAAGTTTAAAGCCTTCCCAGAAGAGTAGAAGCCGTTACTGCAGCAAAGTTTCAGAAATGTACATAAACTGCTACTTATGTAGACTAGACATTGAGACATAGCTGTTGATTTTTACTGATCTGTACAAAATGGCCTTCTGTCTAAAAGTGGTCAAAACCACTCAAGCTTGGCTATACCTCTGTGCATGCAGTTTGGCCACAATGACCTTCAGCTCTCATTCAGTAAAAGCTATAGACTCCTGATGCAAAACTTTTATACACAGAGGAATTATCTCCAACAGGACATTCAGGAAGGGCATTAACTCTGGCTGAAACGTTCATTGCCTCTGACATTTCAAGGGCCATAGCATGGATAGAGTTGCCATTTAAACACTTTCTGTTCTGAAGAGCGGGGCAGCAGGGCTTTTATATGTCTTGGCTCCTTAGAGTAATGGCAAAAGATCTCCCCTAGAAGCAAAAGTCCTCTAAACAGTCTCCCACATGGGGATGTATAGACAGGCAACTTCAAATCACCTTGCAAACTTACAAACCCAATTCCAAAAAAATCGGGTCAGTAGCTAAAATGCAAATAAAAACAGAAAACTATAATTTAGTAGTAATACTGACTTGTATTTGAACAAAAACAGTTACAAA